TGACTGATTTGGTAGGGTCCATCTGGGTCAATGATCTTACACAAGCTGTGCATTTCATCGGGATGGATCCTTTCTTGGGGCAAGTATGGGCGTGGTGAGCCTCACCGCAGTAAGGGCACATTGCAGGAGACGGGCACGAAGGGGCTGTGTGTCCTGTCTTCCTGCAGTTGTAGCATCTCTTTGGTGGGTCTCTACCTGCTTCAGTTTTATGAAGGCCACGGCCAAACCATACTTTCTCTTTAACGCATTTGTCAGCCTGCGCCTGTGTGTCAAGGCCTATGAGGAGGGTGGAGTATCTCTTAGACGGATCATCCTTGAGCTTGGGGTTGAGCCATCGGATGAAGGCTACTTCGCTCAAAAGCTCGGGGTTTGAGGCGATGAGTTCTTCCTTGTGACTCGTGATATCAGGATCAAAAGAAGTTGGGATCGCGTGGACTAGCACCGTGTAGTGCTCCTGCTTCACCTGTAATGAGGCTGACACTAAAGGTAGCCACATCTTTTCTTTAGTTCGAACACGCTCAGCGGTGTTCACATTTTCAAAATGTAGAACCAGGTCATTCGATGGGAGGCGTTGAACCGTCTTCACCGAGATTGTTGATTCCGTTGGTTCATCCAACTTGGTGTTGCTTGCTTTAAAAGCATTGTTGAATCCCTGGATGAGTTGGGTTATGGATAGCGTTCCCAGAGCAACACTGCTTTTGTCCGTTTGGGCTAGCGTAATTGTATTTGCTAGACGTTTCTTGGTCTTGGGCTTGGTGGCTTGACGGTGGCCTGGTTTTGAACCTGTTGGTTGGTTTTGAGCCTGAGCACCGTTGTTTTTGGATGCAGCTGCTGCGTAGGAGCTAGCCGGGTTCGTACTTGGTTGTTTTCTATTGGCATTAGCTGGCTTGCAATGCTCAGTCAGAATTGCCAATTGTTTGCTAAGAACGTCAAGCTTGTCGTTAAATGACGAAGCTTGGAAATCAAAAGCTGCTGGTGAGCTTGTCTGTGGGGGGTTCATTAACGGCGCCGCTGCCCTTTTGGAGCCTGCAAGAGCGGACGCCGGTCTATGGAAGAGGGACTTCTTCGTTTTTTCGAACTGGTGCTGGTCGTACGCAGCGTTGATTAACACTAATATGTCGGCGCAGGAGTCCACATCGATATGGACCTGCTTTGCCAGTCGACCTTTGGCCGGAAGCTGCATGACGTCGTTCGCGACCGCCACGAGCTTTGCTAGCATGACTGTGAGGGAACGATCCTCCTCACAGCCAGGGACTAGCCTCGCCATCCTTTCGGAACGGGGGGTACCCGTAACCGATTGGACATGGTCTTGGGTGGTTAAGCCAGGAGTGCTCGTACGAGCCCTTTTCTTAGCGAACTCGACTAGGAGGGGTACTTCAGACCGTTTGGGAGTCGTTCCTAGGCTGTCGGTGGTGATCTCGATCTGGGGCAAACCGTGTTCCGAACCTTTGAGGAAAGCTGCGATCGCGTCGTCGTTTTGGCTAGACGCGGTCGGGTTCGACCATCGCGAGGTCGATTTGGAGCCAGGATCGTCCTCGACCATTTGGTCCTTGTCCGGCGCGTCTGGCGGCATTGCGCGCGAGGTGATGAGGGAAATGAGGTTGTGAAAAATGATAAAAAAGTGAGGATAATCCCATCTAGTTCTGTCCTCTTCAGGATCTCGATGCGTCGAGCACTATCGAGTACCGGTCCGTGATACAACAAAGGTGGACTCTAGTACTGATCACACAATTGGCAACAGAAATCTGCATATTTGAGGGTCTCCTGACAAGTTTTGTGGTCCTCAGGAAGAGGTACACAGGTACACTCAAGCAATATGTCACAGGGGCCAACAACCTTCTCACAAGTTGCCATGATATCACAACAGTGTGGCCATTTGTGGAATCCAGGAGCCATCGGAATACCAGTCATAGCAATTGTGATTGCACAAGGAGCATCTTTCTTGAAAAAATCCCTGAAATTTGAATGATGAATCAATATCAAATCAGATTCCTTAAGATGAGATAAAGCAACATCAAATTGTGATTGTAAAGCTGCCAAAAACTTACTGAACAGATACTTGTGGACAATTCCAACACAATCATTCAAGTGTTTCAGAAATCTTTGTTGGCAGAGGTTCTATGTCAGAGATGACTTATGATGTTATGAGACTCTTGGGCATCCCCGCCTCAGTCTTGAACAGTGAAATGCCTCTGGCTGTGCTGGCTGCTTGAATGTTATACGTGCACGCACACCATGTTTCTGAACATTGATCTGCAAGTGGAGAGTTGAGGGTTTGGGCATGTTTGGGCATATTTAAGCTTTGATTTGTGATGACGTTGAGGTTGACTTCCTACATACATACATCAGATTGATGTTTGGTGATCCAGTCTTTGAAGATCTTGGTATAGTGCATTTTGGTGAGGTAAAACCCATCGACAAGTATGGCTTTAGGGGAGTCGACTTGTTTACCTTGAGCCATTGCCGATCGGAAATCGACTCACCCAGCAGCCAACTCATTCTTCATAACCTTGCTCTTATTCCTCAACCTCGATTCAATCATCTTTCAATACCACCAAAAAATGGCATCATCACCTATTTTGTTAGCTATGGGAAACCGTAAGTTGATCTGGATAACTTATTCGCGATCACCGATGTTGACCAAAATGGCGCCCTTGACGGTCAACAGCCCTTTTGGACATGCAGGTCAGAGATGGCGAGAAGCTTTTAGAGAAGTATGGTTTGAAATCAAACGATGCTATCCTCGCCGAAGAAAAACACATGCCCATGTAAGTTCAAGTAGCTAGAATTCGATACATGTATGTGTATCTTCTGTTTATTGATTCGTTCTTGTTTCGAAACCAAGTTACGCTGAGGTGACCGGTATGTCACCTGTTTACGTCGCTGGTGGAGCTGCTCAAAACGCTGCGCGTTGCGCCCAGTACATCTTGCCAGCGGGCTCGACCGTGTATCTCGGTTCTGTGGGAAAAGACGATTTGGCTGAACAATTGAGGTCAGCAAACAAAAAAGAAGGACTTCAAGACCTTTATCAAGTTGTGGATGGACAACCCACTGGAGCTTGTGCTGTAGTTATTACCGGGCATGACCGGTAAGCAAATTCGCTTGCTTTCCCCGCCTCACCTCTAAAGCTCAAGCCGTAAAGGTCACATCAAGCAACACCAGCTGATCGTCCTGCCACTTCTGTTCCTTCCGCTTTGGGGAAGCTACGTAGATCCCTTTGCACTCAACTGGGCGCGGCTGAAAAATTCGCACCTTCTCACCTGAAGACCCCGGAGGTGTCAAAGGTGAATAGAAGCCGGATTGTAATCGAGTTCTTGAACAGCGTACTGATTCTTGACATAAGGCTATACAAGATGCCAAGTTCTATTACGTCGGCGGTTTTTTCCTTACTCATGGTATTGAAAGCACCCTGGAGCTCGCTGAGATCTCGGTGAAGGAGAACAAAGTTGGTCTACTTTCCTACTATCAGCTCAATATATCAACCAATTCCGACACGACCGCTGATTTGGATTGTTTTAGGTTTTCACAATGAATCTTTCGGCACCTTTCATCCCTCAATTCTTCAAAGATAACGTCGACAAAGTGATGCCTTATGTTGACTATCTCTTTGGAAATGAATCAGAAGCCGAAGCCTTCGCACAAGCTCACAGTTGGGATGTAAGTCAAACATAGTGTCAAACTCAACAATGTCACCTTTATGGAGCGTTTCTCACGTGTACTTTGATATAGACCACCGACTTGACAGTCATTGCCACTCGCATCGCTTCGCTACCCAAAAAGCTTACCTCACGACCCCGAGTGGTGATCATCACTCAAGGTGCCAAAGCAACCATTGTCGCATCCTCCAGTGTCTCACCATTCCCTTCATCGGCTCCCATTCAAAAGAACGATTCTGGTCACTACTTCATTGTAGCAGTCTCACCACTAAGTGATGATCAGATCGTCGATACCAATGGCGCTGGAGATGCGTTTGCTGGTGGGGTGTTAGGTGCCCTTGGATTGAATAAGCCACTTGACAATTGTATTGAAATTGGTCACAAGTTGGGTCAAATGTGTGTAGGTCAAGTTGGACCTCAATTGAAGTGGCCTAAAGTCCAAGTTGTTTAGATTACCCTGTATTGTGGACATATCAATTGTACATTTATGGTGAAAGAATTCAACAATGCTTTCTCCAATTATTCAACTCTTGACTGTGAAATCATAAAATTGAAATTTAGATCCTTGTTAGGCTCAGATATTTGTGTCCTGGGGTATTCTCGTAGAACCCTCGGAGCTGGCCACTACAATTGCTACAACATAATCACCATCATGTGACAAACTCATATGCAAATCAGGGAGTGGGATCTTCGCCGCATTTTTAGGTTGGAATATAATCATGGGCTTCTTTGAGCTAAGGGATTCGAAGAACGCATGCTGAAGATTTGAAGGGTTGGCCATGAATGCCAACCGGATCTGTTGGTCTTTCAACACACTCAGTTCCTTCCACGTTGGTTTGAAAGTTGGATACAGGGCTTTAAAGGCAGCTTCTTTTGCTGCCCATCTGTTGATTTGTAGGTTTACCGAGATATGATGAGCAACCTGTACGAAGAAAGTGATTCAAAACTTCCCACGAACCTGTTAGCAAGGTACTGCAATTCTCGCGATTGCAGACCAGGTGAAGTGGATGAGCTGGCTTCCGCCTTCTGGTGAGGATAATGACTGATCGAATTCCATTCGTTTGAGCACATTTCCTCTGAGCTTAGAATACGTTTGATGAATCGCACGCGCGAGGAGAGTGACTTTGATAGTAATCGATGTAGTCGCCTGATGTCTAGAATGTCGATTCCTACTCCAATTACATTATTGATCATTGGCTTGAGTTGATTGAGTGACTTAAATTCGAATGCATAGATCGCTATCTTTCACCAAATGTCTCTTGAAACTGCATTCCTTCTGTGGGCGTAGACTGGAGGCGTGCTTCATGTCTGATGGCGCACCTCTGTAGCTTGCACGCGTTCAACGTTGCGCCTGAGCACCATTTGGCGCATTTGATATGGCTCTTCGAAGCAAAGAAACTTCAGCAAGAAGTGCGATGAATCTACGTGGAATCGATTGGCTCATAACGGTACTCTATTTGAGCTGAGCTTATGCCTTCATATAAAATCGTTTTGCCCTTTCCAGAGCCAGTTTGATCTTCCACCCCGGCGTGCCAGAGGAGTGCGGCGGACTCGATGATGACCGGAGGACACCGCGGCTCACGTGACCGAGGACCAAGTGAACTGATTTGAAGAGATGACGTCAACATTGGGGTTTGAAAGATTCCTTCAAGAAATACTTCCTGATGAGCGTTCCCGACCAGACTCAGATCTGCTACTGCAAACTCCAAAGCGGGCACTCGATAGCTTATCAAGTACTAAAACCCAGAACCAAGGGCTCACAAACAGAAAATACACCATTAATCTTGATCCATGGATTAGCTGGAGTCGGATTGATCGATTGGTCTCCATTCCCGGAATCTTTATCTCATGATCATACCGGTAAGTGTTTCTGATATAGAACCGCAGTGTTTTCATCAAATATCTTCTGAACATCTTTTGAATGGTCTCTGTAAATTTACGTAGTGGTGGTGTTTGATAACCGAGATATTGGTTGGAGTCGACCTCCCAAAGGTCGAGAGAATGAACCGTTGACTTTGGATGATATGGGGAATGATACAATAGAGCTTATCAATGTGAGTGAGAGATCACATATCTCAGGGAGTATGCTCGGATCAGTTGACTAATTTTGATTTTATCTCTTGACCATCTGCGCTACAAGCACCTTCAATTCAAGTCGGTCGACTTATTGGGTTTTTCAATGGTATGCCCTCCGATCGTAATATCGTCATTTTCGTTCTCAGAGCCCTAAAAATGGTCCGCCATCATTATTGGGTATAAATTCAAAAAAGGGAGGAACAATCCTTCAACATATTTTGATGAAATCAGACAAATTACCTTTTCGGATCAAACATGCCATTCTAGCGGCTACCTTTGCAGTAACTCCCAACATGTCAGATCTCGGTTTGTTCTTCCCTCAAGAAGGAGGAGACGACACGAAGACAGCTGAACAAAGGAAGTACGACTTTACTAAAAGACTTCTGGAGGCACAGTATGATGCTGATTGGCTACCTAAGGTAAGTTGACTTCACTACCATTGGTCTTGTACCAAGGAAGTTATTGATACAAAGGTGCCTTTAATGATTCTAGAACCTCGAGATGCTAGAACATCGTGTTCGGTTATCGTCAATGGCGAGAAGGCCTCGGGCTGTCATTAGTACGTCCTGCGCTTGATCTTGTTCTCATCATGATCAGAATAGGATACAAATCTGCCACTTTTTTCTTCCACACAGTGCGGCAAGCAATGGCAGTTGAGCTCCAATCCTCCAATTCTATTTTGTGAATGTTTACTCACTTGTTTTTTTCTAGTGTCAAGGTATTGATCTAAGAGACGGTCTGTCGGCCATCAGTCCCTCAATTCCCATCCTTTCATTACACGGTCAAAGAGATCAGATTGTCGGATTCAAAGAACAGGCCAAAATATTAGAAGCTATACCTCATGCTCAGAAAGCAAACGTACCTGATCTAAAATTTGGACGTAAGTAAAAATAATGATGAACTATCATTTTCTTCAAGTCTCAATTGAATCATCTTTATTTTTAGATATGTGGTATGATTATTTTGGCACTGAGGTTTGGGGGAAGATATTGGTAGATTTTTTGGATGTAGATGGACGCGGGACTAAGCTTTAAAAATGATGGTCGGGAAGGGGAGGACATGCGTTGAGGTAAGTGAGATCCTCATCTAACCCAAGATGTCGTATATCCCGCTTGGGGATCAACACCTTTTCCTGGGGTATTGTCAAACCAACAAACCAACATGATCTGATTTCAAAATAATGCTTTGTAACTCCGGTAGAAATAGATAGGCTAAGAGGATTGGTAAGATAACATGCACTCGTTGTCTCACCCTGATTTTGGTCAAATGATACATGGTTTTCTGAGCATGATTCAATCTGTTGTGAATCATTCTTGACAATGAAAGCTTAGATTGAGGTTCACCAGAGGTGTCAATAGAGTGGTGGAAACAAAAGGTATGGTAGAGGAATAAAAGCATATATTCCTACTGCAGATATTAGCGGGACACAAACATCTCAACCCAACCTACAGCCATTGTAAGATCTATTGGCAGATTTTGAGAGCTTTGTGTTGTTGCTAGATTTGATGTATAGGTCAAAAACTTGAAGAAACCCTTTTGAGATCGATAACTCTACTGCCCATTGGTCTAATCTGCACCAGGAGAATAGATTTCACTCTGAAAGTGATATAGTTTGGAGTTTTTGACTTCAAAAGTTGAATCTGGCAACAACAATTTTTTTTTAAAATCTGCCAGTAGATCTTGCAACGGCTGTAAGAAAACCCATGGCAACCTGATTGATTTTTGGATTTTTTAGCGCTAAAAACTCAAAATCAATTGGGTTGCCATGGGTTATTTGGATGGGTTTTTGAGGTTGGGTTGAAATGTTTGTGTACCCCTATTGACCAGAGCACCCCCCAACAGTGATGTCACAAGTTCAGGAAGAGATCAATAAGATACAGTTGTTTTCAAAAAGCCACAAATTCACTGCCAAATTGCTTAAGTTTTGTGGGCAAATTTGGACAAGCTTCTTGCAACCAACTGTAATGATGTGAGATACAAATGTTTTGCAGAATGGGCAAAACATTCAGTATATCATGCTATGGTCTTTTTACATTGAATGCCTCTAAACTTGTGAGACAACATAAGCTTATACAACTGCTAGAGCAGTGGGGGTGGTTGCCCTTTTGCACAAGTAACAGTTACACAGCCTCTTCATTGTCTCAGCAGCATCTCATGAATGTGCATCATACCATCAAAAGTTTTGCATAGGAATGAGAGTGGTGAATAATTTGTTATTCTTCACACATCTAGTTCCTGTTGGGAAAAATTATCATTCTAATTCCTTCTCTTTGGTACCCAAGGAATTTGGGCACTGTGTCTTTTGATCAATGGTATGTACAGCCGTTGTAAGATCTATTGGCAGATTTTCAGATCATTGTGTTGTTGCCAGATTTAATGTAGAGGTCGGAAACTACCACAAACCCTTTTGAGACTGATAACTCTACTGCCCATTGGTCAGATCTAGCACAAGAACAACTGAGTTACTCTCAAATTGACATAATTTTTGAGTTTTTGACTTCAAAAGTTAAATCTGGCAACAACACAACTTTTCAAAAATTTGCCAGTAGATCTTACAACGGCTGTAAGAAAATGAGCTGGATGGAGAGTTGACACTCAGGGAAGCTCTGCGACAGAAACCTTTGGACAGGTTTAAAACACCCTTATCCTGGTGTTGACAAGACAATGGCTAATCAAAATTGAATGAGAGTTCTAAACTCTTAGACAAACCTGGATAAGGAACAACAAGGAGGATGATAAAGAGAGAAAGCTTCAAAATAAAATTCATCAATGATAATCACACATACACATAGAAACTAATTCTAGGCTTTAGAAAGGTTCTTAGCCTGGTGCTAACAAGACATGTGCTAATCAAAATAGAATGAGAGTTCTAAACTCTTAGACAAACCTGGACAAGGAAAAACAAGAGGATAATAAAGAGAGAAAGCTGTGGTAATAAGATAGAGAAAAATAAAAGGGTATACAAAGGGATGATCAAACAACAATGCAAACATTTTAGCTGTGAAGTTGTTAGTAAAATGAGTAAATTTTGAACACAACTCTTACCTTCAAAATCAAATTCCTTGATGAGGGAAAAACATTGTAAAGGAAGAGAGAGCGTTTTAAAAGGGAAAAACAATGTCAACACCAATTTGAATAAAACCAACTACACAACAACATAAAACAAAAGTATTGAACTACTTTTTCTCAATCCAGATAGCATCTTCCATACTTCGCCTTGGTCTCTAACATCACATCGGCCTTCAATAACTCCACCTGCTTCCTCCCTTTGGGATTTGTACATTTCAACTACACCATTTTGTTCTTAATGGTTTTGACACTACACAGGAGAATTATATCCTCCAACGTTGGCTCCCTTGTCCTTTCCATGAAATTACACAGGTGCTGCCATTCCTTTGGGCATCTGTAGCATTTCCCGGAATTACTTTTCACAGTTGTCAAGTCTTTGGGTTGCTTTACTTGACACTTTGGGTTGGGCTTCCATTTCTTTGATTTGTATAGTAGTTTCCTTCATTGATAACAGAAGTGCCAACATAATTGAACTAAGTTAGCTGCTACATTCATGTCACAATTTTTTGCCTGTTTGGAAAAGTGTTCCCATAGCTGATTGATGTCCATGCTTTCCAGGCATTGAGTAGGCCACTTTGAGGCTGTTCCTGCCACATTTGAGTTCATCTTGTTGTTGTTTCACATATTGTCTTCACACATGTCTCACGTGTTTGTTTGCAATGAAGCTGGATGCGATCTTTCCATATGGGTGTGAGAAGGAGGAGCAGGTGGCATAAAGGGATTCCAAAAGCTATAAGAAGGTGTTTTAGTTCTTACAAGAGAGGTGAAGATGGGATAGACAATTAAGGAAGACACAATTGTGCAGTCGCTGCGCAACGGTTTGATGTAGTGGTAAAAAGTCAGAAAATAGGTTTATTCATTGTTGGAAATCCAAATATAGACTTTGTGATTGATCTGTGTACAAAGTATGACCTTGCTTCCATGAAAAATCAGCCACTAGGAAGCTGTTCAGGTTTCTCATTTGTTCCATTGTACATTTGCAAGGTGACACATATTTTTTCATTTTGAACTTCTTTGAGCTTTTTCTTCTATTTGAGCAAGCTTGAGATTCTCATCAAGTAGCTTTACTTCAGACTTGTTTGGCATCTCTGATTGAGAAGTCCTGGCATGCTGTAATAGAAGCTACTTGGCTGTATTGTTTCATGCTGGAAGATTTTTTAAATAATGGTTGAGAATACAACAAGGGAAGGAGTGATAGGATCACAAGGCAGAACAATAGAACAAACTTGTTTATTTTTACACTGATTCTTGTGGCATAAGACTAGATAAAAAGATGAACAGGACATAATTGCTTTATTGGTAACCTTGTGTCATGTCTTTTGATACACCATGGCCAGCTTGCGCCCTCTGTCCTGAGGTCAAGTCCATGAGTCTCAGAGGATACCATTATCACACAATGAAGATAAGGATGATGACATTTTGTCACAAGTCTCTATGAAGCAAGTACTCTTTATATCATGATAGGGTCAGAGGATGATCCATAGAGTATCATCAAAATCTTCCCTGCAAGATTTTGAAACATAAATATGTCTGAAAATGACTCAGCAGTCAATTACGCAAAGATAGAGCCACAGTCATTTTTGAAACATTGCAAGATCACCATTGATATCATATATCAGGGCAGAGCTGACAAATTTATGTGTTATGTCACATCTTCTGATACGCCATGACCAGCTTGTGACTTTCTTCTTGAGTTCAATCACACAATTTGAAACAGTATTTTCAGCACTCAATAGAGATAAGAATGATGCCATTTCAACATGATTCTAAGAAAGTTCCATTTCTCTCATGAGGTTGTCAAAAACATTGATGCATACAAATTTGTACCATCCCCATCAATGTCATGTGATTGAGAGATATATATTTGGCAAAAATTCAATTAGCCAAGGATACAACCACAGTGGGATATGGAACCCAAGAGGTTGTTCTCAACGGACATGCAGGAGAGCTTTGAGGCAATCAAAATTGGAAGCAAAGGTCTTCTTATTTCATATCATTTCTTTGGAGGATATTTATGAGTCATCTGATTGAATCATGTGTGGAAAGGTCTGATATTTTTGCATGAACCACACTGGAGAACCACTGTCAGGATTCAACACCCTCCCAATTAGGATAATTTTTCATTTTTTTGGAACAATTAATTATTGTCATATAAATGCCCATTAATTATTACAAAAAAATAAATTATTCCATTTGGGAGAGTGTTTAATCCTGTAAGTGAGCATTGAGGAACTCTCTTCACAATCATTAGAAAAAACACAAAGGGCACATTTACTTAAGGTGTTTCTGACTAGAAATCACATTCTGTAAATTTTTTAATGCAAAAATGAAATATGCACCACCAAATAGACACTTTGAATTTTGCAGAATGTGATTTTTCACCAGAAATTGCTTGAGTGAATGTGCCCTAACTGTTTACCAGAGAAAACCTAAAAGATGAATATATGCCATCTAATTCAGAGGCTGCACTACATCATTTCCATTAAATATAATCCAGACAAGTTTTGGTCAAGATAATCCTGTATATAGGGATGACAAAATGGGCTTCAGATTACTATAAGATTGAATGCCCTGTTAGTAAAGAACTAATTTAATCTCTTGGCTATGTGGTTTTTGAGATATAACCAGACATCCCGCCAACACCCGAATTGCTCCGCTACACTCCGGAAATTGACCAATATCCGGAGTGGAGCGGAGCCTGCGCTATGGGTGGAGGCGCTATGGCTCCGCTATTTTTCAAAAAAAAAAATCACCGGGATGGCGCAGCGGTCCGAGTGCTATATTTTCGCCATATAGCGCGCTCTGAGGGGCTCCGCTCTTAGCAAAAATATAGCGGGCTACGAGGCAAAGGAAAAGTAAAAAGATAAAACAAAATTTATTTCAAACCCCATGTGTACCGGGTGGATTCTCTTATATAAGATATAGCCTTAGGAATCATGTAGAAAATGAAGATAAAAAAGTATGAGAAAGAGGTTATACAACACTCACCTTAGGAGGAAAATAGTACTGAAGGAGCTTCATGACCCCAATTGACCGAGATTCATTATATCCAGGTTCACTGGTCCCCACAATCTCAACCTCGGATTCCTGAGACAGATCGGCACCTTCAGGTACCTCCAAGGGCTAGAATAGAATGGTAAGTAATATGATATAAGGGTTACTCTTAACTGGTGAAAGTACGTACATCAATATTTCATTGTTTTGCTGGTGGAGGTGATCGTGGGCTACCCAAAGATCCTTGTGACAAAGATCGAACTCGTTTGCTAGTTGACGAAACAGTCTAGGAAACAAAACGATTAGCTCAATGATAATATATAACATTTGATATTGAAAAGCTTACCTTTCCTGGTTGGATTGGTTTTGCTGGAGCTTGCTTGACTTTCTTGATGGTAGAAGCCGGGGGTCGAGGTGAAGCTGGGCGATGAGCAAGAGATCCGGGAGTCTCTTTGTCAGACAAAGTCGACACAGTGAGAGCTGAACGTGAGTCCTTTGGAGGGACCACAAATCCAGGTCGGGTACGA